GGATCCTCTTGTGGTGGTGGTCTGTTCGGCTGTGAAAGAATTTGTTGGGGTTTTATGGAATCGTTCCATATCCCAGGCTGTGCTGGCTTCCTGTGTGCACGATGCCCAGGCGGTCCGGCAGAAGAAGGCTCCCTGGGGCCAGGTCCGACAACCCGTGGCTGCCCTCTTCCTCCTCCTGGCCCGGATCCGTTGGGCGTTTGATTTGGAGACGCTGTCTTTGATTGATGATCTCGGCAAGTCCTGGTCGGTGGAGCGCTTCTCCCCCAAATTTCTCACCCTGCTTGCGCGCAGTGCTGTGCGGCGCACCGTCGAGCGCGAGGAACAACTTAAGCAACATGATTTTTGTGAGTGGAGCGGAGGGGTCAATTGGGCCCCGCTTCATCAACTGTTGTCTCGGAAAAACTCGGCGTGCTGGACCAAGGGGCACAAGGCCGCCTTGTCGGCCACTTTGGCCAACGCTTATTGGTCCCAACGCAGAATTGCCGGCCATTGCCCTGAAGCGGACAATAAGTGTCAGCTGTGCGGGGAGGGCCTGGGGACCTTGTATCATCGAAGGTTCCAGTGTTGTGCCTTCGCCAGCTGGCGCCGCGAGAACCTGGATCCCATCGTCGCCGAGGCTGCTCGCAATGTTGGCCATCTCAGTGGAGAAGCCCGCGAACTTTTTAGTAGGTGCATGCTCCCCGACCCCACGGCCTGGGCGAAGAGGCCGCCGAGGGACACGCTCGACCCGTGCACCCGCCATTGGCAGTGGCCTCAAGACGGCCCTCTCTTCATCCCGGATGGGGCCAATGTTTTTGCGGACGGTTCTGGTTTCGAGGGAGGCATGCCCGGCTTAAAAACGGCTGGGTGGGCTGTCGTTGTCCTCGATAAGGATGGGAGGACGATCGCCGCCCTGTTCGGAGTGGTCCCTCTCGCCGAGGCGCCAGAGCAGCTGGCCCGCGACGGCGAGGATTTCGCTGTGTTGATGCTTTCGCGCCGTGCGGTCATTGGCCAGAACGTTTCCCTGTTTATCGACTGTGCTGCCACAGTCGGCTGCCTCCGTAATCTCCGGGGGGCTGCGGGGGTCACGTCGGCCAGGGCCCACTGGTGGGCCGAAATCGGGGACCGCCTTGAGGGGATGGCCGTGGTCAAAATCCCTGCCCATACGTCGATGACCGACGTGAGGGAAGGTAGGATCACGGACCTCCAGCGCTTTGGCAATTCTGAGGCGGACCGCCTGGCTAAAGAAGGGGCCGAACGGTTCCGCGTTTCTGCTGAGGATCGCCTTCTAGTGCTAGGCTGTTGTGAGCTAGTCAAGAGATTAGGCATTTTTTGTGCAACGCAACAGTTTGAATGCCGTGACCTGGCATTGCAAGACCACGTCGGCCTGGAGTGGCTTGGACATGTCATCCTGGACGCGGTTCCAGGTTTACCTCCTCTGCCTGCCTCCGCTCGGGGGGAGCCTCCGCTGCTGCTGCGTGTGCTGCCCCCTCCTCTTCCTCCGAGGGCCTTGGTGGTGGACCCACCGGAGAGCCATCGCCCGGAGCTTGGAGGCAATTGGAGCACCTGCTTGAGCAGGCCGACGTTTACGAGTCTGATCGTGAGACGTTTCATGACTCGATGCTGATGTGCGTCAGATGTGGGGCCATGGCCCATTCCAGCACGAAGCGAGGGAATATTCGGTCTGTGTGTCGTCCCGTCGCGTCGTCGACGAGTCGGGGGTACTACCTGAACAGGTTTCGTGCTGGAGTTTATCCCGGCCATCGTAACCCGAAAGGGTTCACGTTGGCGTGCGTCGGTGCCCCGAGCCTGGAGGTCAGGGAGCATTGGCGGCCCTTTTTCTCTGCCTGGTCCCAGGGCTTGCAGGGGCCCGTGAAGCAGACGGGCCCCTCCGCCGAGCAGACGGCGCTTGTAGGGCCGTTGGCTGCGGACTGGAACCGCGGCTTGGCGCTCTACGGCCTTTCAGCCGCTGCGGCGAAAGCCCTTGGGAGGCAAGTGGTGGTGAGGAAGAGGGCGGGACCGGAGTTCGAGGATGAGGATCCCGATCTCGGCTAGTCCCCCCCTCCATGTGTGCATGCAGCTGTGAATTAGGTCGAACCTTTCTCGGTCGGGTGCGTCCATCCTTATCCTGCCTCTCCTCACCCATACGCGCCAACACCTTCCTCGTTCTCGACCTTTTCCCTCCTCATCATCATCCCACCCCGCATCTCATCATCACGTTCTGTCCTGTCTGTTGGTCTTTTCCTACCCCTCATCCTCTTGGAGTATCGTTTCCTCTCCTTCCCTTCTTCTCCTCGCCCTCCCTTCCTCCACCCCTCGTCCTCGTCATCCTGCTTTTCTTTCCCCTCCGTGTGCTTCCCCCCCTTCCTCTGTCCTCGTCCTGCGCCGGGATGCGCGGGCTCGACCCAAGCGTCGAACCAGGCGCGGGGCTGGCACAGCCCAGCCCGCCGTTCTGGGGAGCAGAGGGAGGGCACCAATGTACCCTCCCCCGTGGGAGGAGGGAGGGGGAGGAGCGGAGAGGGGGAGAGGGCGATGGAAAAGGTTGGGAAGGGAGTGGGTGGGGAGGAGAACGAGGAGCAGGAGGAGAAGGAGGAGGAGGAGGAGCAGGAGGAGGAGGAGAAGGAGGAGGAGGAGGAGGAGGAGGGGCGAAGTGGTTCTGGGTTGAGGGGAGGGTATAAGTAAAGTCGGGCGTGCTCCTCTACAGGAGGAATATTCAATAATAGTAGAGAAATAGTATGGTGTCAATGCTCCGTGCTCGTTTGACTATGTTTTGTTATTTGTCGACTATGTTTAATCCTGCTCCCCAAATCCGCCTGTGAGAGAACATGCCCGACCTAAGTTTAAAAGGGAAGAGGTGTCTGGGGGGGCGTTGGGGTGGGATGGGGCACATAGAGGGGGAGGGAAGGGTTCCATGAGGGAGCAGGAGGAAGAGGTCGGTCTTCCATTCCAGGTGTGTTCGCAGCAAAGCACGGCCCTCGGAAGGATGAGGATACGTCTACTTGCATTTCCATTACCCCTATCTGCTGGCTGCTATCATGCAGTACCACGCACGTACTTGAAGGGCCGTCGAGCTTCTGCCCCTGGACCTAGACGGGCCACGCAGGGGCGTGACCATCAGGGGAGTGCCAGCTGAGATATCAGCGGCCCTTTCCCTCCTCCTCCTCCTCCTCCTCCTCCTCTTCCTCCCTTCTCCCCGGGGAGGGGAGATCTGTGCTCATGACGAGTAATCATCGTAGGGGGGTGGGTGAGGGGGGAGGACGGGAGGAGGAAATATGTGGAGGGGAGGAGGAGAGGAGGGGAGGAGACGAGAGGTAGCAGGCTGAGGGAAGGTTGGGTGGGGTACGTAAGTGTACCGTCTCCGCTCCCCGCGTTCGCAGGCGTGTGCGAGGGCGTTCCCGTGGACCTTTGAGGAAGGAGGAGAAGGAGAAGGATAAGGAGAAGGAGAAACACAATGAGTAACAGGAGGTCACAACAGGGCAGAATGCCGAAGTGGACGATGTTAATGGTGATGACGGTGGCGATGGTGATGGTGATGGTGATTATGAAGGTGATGATATTGATTATGCTGATGATGATGATGATGATGATGATGATGATGATGATGATGATGATGGTGGTGGTGGTGGTGGTGGTGATGATGACGGTGATGATGATGATGGTGATGATGATGGCGATGCTGAGGGTGAGTGCGGCGGTGGGGATGATGACGATGGGAATGCTGCTGATTATGATGCTCATGCTGATTATGATGATGTTGGTGATGATGCTGATGCTTCTAATGATGATGACGATGACGACGATGCCGATGATGATGAGGAGGAGGAGGGTGATGAGGAGGATGATGATGAGGATGATGATGCTTGTGATGGAAATGATGGTGCTAATGATGATTGCACTGATGATGATGCTGATGCTGATGATGACGATTGTGGTAGTGGTGAGTGGGTGGTGGGATTAATGAATATTGTGCCAATGATGGTGTTGCTGATAATAAGGGGGCTGGTTATAAGGAGGACATGGATGATGATGCTGGTGATGATGATCATGCTGGTAATTCTGACGATGTCGGTGATGATGCTGATGATGATGCTTATTCCCATGCTGATGATTCTGATGAGGGAGTTGATGGTGATGGTGATGGTGATGATGATGATGATGATGATGATGATGATGATGATGATGATGATGACGAGTACGATGTTGATGATGATGCTGCTGCTGCTGCTGCTGCTGATGATGATGATGATGATGATGATGATGATGACGCCCCCCCACACTGTGCATGCGCGCTGGGCGCCTGCATGGGCGCTGGGCGCGAGGGCGGGACCAGACCGCCTCGGCAGAAAGAAGCGTCATGCCCCGCAGCGCCGTCTGGACCCCCTGGGTGGGGCCACATGGGTGGAGCCTGAAGCTCAACAATTGTCAGGGCAGTACTTACGATCCGCCCTGCCCGGCGGTCAAAGACCACCCAGGCCCCCAAGGTCTACCCTGGCGAGGGCGGGAGGGAAAATGCCCCCAGGTGGTCCTTACAAGAGGAGGCATGCGAGCGGCCATCGACGGCCACGAGGTGACGGTGCCTTCTCTGTGCTCGTGATGATGTTGATGGTTGATATGTTGATCATGATGATGATGTTGCTGTTGATGATGATGGTGGTGATCATGATCGTGATGATGATGATGATGATGATGATGATGATGATGATGATGATGAGGATGAGGATGAGGATGAGGATGATGAGGATGATGGATGATGAGGATGAGGATGATGAGGATGAGGATGAGGATGAGGATGATGCTGATGATGCTGCTGATGATGATGATGTTGTTGATGTTGTTGTTGATGATGATGCTGATGATGTGGATGGGGATGGGGATGGTCACGGCGATGGAGATAGGGAGGGTCATGAGGAGGAGGAGGAGGAGGAGGAGGAGGAGGAGGAGGTGGAGGAGCATCTGGAGGAGGAGGAGGAAAAGAAGAAGATAACATCGCCCAACAGTCTCCCTGAGAAAAAGAAAAAAGGATGAGACAAGAGGACCTGCTGCTCGGCTGGAGGGTGCACTACAGCGCCCCCTTCTGCGCCGCCACCCGCGCCACGGACGTGCGCGGGGGCCTGCCTCCGGAGGCGACGGTGCTCGTGGGCGCGGCGCTCGGCGACGGCCGCGGCAGCTGCCTGCGGGACCGCCTCGAGGTGGCCAGGCTCGTCGCCGTCGCCTGGGGGCAGCCTGGGGAAGGCCCTGATTACCCGAGGCCCGGAGGGTACAGTCGACCCGCATTTTTAAGGATGGGCAACTCTCCCAAGGTTTCCCTTGCATCCTTGCCTCCTCGGTCCGTCCTTGGCCACTTTCGTTGGCCGCGCACCGCTCTCAAAGCTTCGAAGCGGCCTTCAAGGCCCTCGCATCCTTATCGCGCTTCCTTACTACTCGTGTTGACTGTACAGTGCCGTTTTTAATACATGCTCCGCGTGCGGATTTAGTATTAAAAACAACGATGAGTTCATGCATACATTCATTCATACACGAATCATGTATTAAAACACCTCTATGTTTAAACATCCTATGTATTAACACCTGCCCTGTAGCCAAGTGCGACGTAAGCCTAGGGTATGCCTAGATAGGCATGTGAACGGCCTGGGAAGGTCTAGGCCTAGGAATGCCCAGGCCCATGGAAGGCCTAGGAAGGCCTAGGTAGCTCAGCCTAGGGAAGGCCTTCCTCTCGGGGGTAGCCTGGGACAGGTCTGGGGAGGCCCAGCGAAGACCTAGGCTCGCTTGTTCGCTCGCCAGGGGGAGAGGGGGCGCCCGTCGAGGTGGCCGCGGCGGGGCTCGTCGGGCCCGCGCTGGCGGAGACCGCGCGCGGCACCGCGCCCACGGCGCACAACGGGGCCCACTGGTACCTTGAGAGCGGCCACGCGTTCGGCTTCGCGGACGGCCCCGTGCGGCGGCGGCGCGGGGGCGCGGACACAGAGGAGTCAGGGGAGGCAGAGGCAGCGATGCCGCTCGTCCTCGCGTCGTTGTCGCCTTCTTGGGCTCCTGGGAGGCCCTCGTCGCCACCGCCAGAGTTTCCTCAAAGCCCTGGTCAGAGCGCATCCCCCGGAAGGTTTGGGGCCGTTCGTTGAGGAATGTGCCCATGGGGCCTTCAGACCCTGGACGGTCCCCCATCCGATGTGGGCGGCGGTGACGGCCGTGGCCACTCGCCATTCCACGACTGGAGCTCCACTCCACTGGCTTCCAGACCCTGAACCCTATCTCTCCAGACATCCGACGTCTGGATTATTTCGAGACACGGTCCCCCGACCTCCCGACCACCTCCCCGGGACCAGTTTTCCATCCCGAGTCGTTGTGTGACGGTCCCGAGGCCCAGCGAGGGCCCCGAGAGGCCAAAAACTACGGAAAACCTCCGCCTCGATTTTGTTCGAGACGCCCGACTCGCCGATGTCGGAGCCCAAGGGTTCCCTATCCGGTGCCCTCGCCGTCGCGGCATCGGTGCCTCGTGGCCCCCCCCGAGGAGGGCGGCCTGCGCGTGAGCCCCGGGGAGCGGAGGCGCGCACCGGCTGCCTCACCCTCGCCGTCCTCGCCCGCGCCCGGGCATCGCGAGCAGGCGCTCGCGGGGGTCCTCGCGGGCCGAGCCGGCTCGGAGAAGGACGCCGGATCGTGTCTACCTCCTCCTCCTCCTCCTCCTCCCCCCTCCTCCTCCTCCTCCTCCTCCTCCTCCTCCTCCTCCTCTCCTCCTCCTCCTCCTCCTCCTCTCCTCTCCCTCCTCCTCCTTTCCTCCTCCTCCTCCTCCTCCTCTCCTCCTCCTCCTCCTCCTCCTCCTCCTCCTCCTCCTCCTCCTCCTCCTCCTCCTCTCTCCCTCCTCCCTCCTCCTCCTCCTCCTCCCTCCTCCTCTCCCTCCTCCTCCTCCTCCTCCTCCTCCTCCTTCCTCCTCCTCCTCTCCTCCTCCTCCTTTCCTCCTCCTCCTCCTCCCTCCTTCCCTCCTCCCTCCTCCCTCCTCCCTCCCAGATATGGTCGGATCAGGTGGGGTCGGAGGATCGCGCCGCATCGTCGAGGCATCGGCGATGCATTGCCGATGCATCGCCGATGCATTAGCGATACGTCGCCATCCTCCGACCCCATCTGCTCGGACCCCACTGGGGAGGCCTCTACCATGGGTCCCCCGAGAGCCTCGCGTCTCAAGTTGTTCGGGCATGGTGTTTTCCCCTGATTTCGGACCCCGGGACCCTCACAGGTAGATCCGGCTCGGAGAATGGTGCATAGAGATGGGATCCAGGGCTCTGGTCGAGGTGTTCGACGATGTTTCATGTTTTTCGCGCCGTAGGACCCTAGGCTTGGGCCATCTGAGGGCCATCTTGAGCCGTCTTGGTGGGCTCCTGGCCCGTCCGATGCCGTCGGAAGCCGTTTTGGGGGGCCTCTCTGGGCCGACTTGGGGCCCTCTTGGAATGCTCCAGGGCGGCCATCTTGGGCGTCTTTAAAGGCATCCTGGGCCGTCTCGGGGGCATCTTGGGGCCGTCTTCGGGGCCTCTTGGGCCGTTCGGGGGCCATCTGCGGGAGCTCTGGCCGTGGAGTGGGTCACGGCGCCGTATCGGTGGAGAGGCCGTGCGCCCGTGCCCCGACCTCCCCCATCCCAGGGCCCCCATCGAGCGCCCGCCCCTCTCCCTTCGCCTCCTCTCCTCTGGCCTCTTGCCCTCCCCGCCCCTCCATTCGGCGGCGAGCGAGAGGGGGGAAATGAGAAGGAGAAGGCCTTCTCAGAAGGTGGTGGGACTTCTCAGAAGCCCTCGCGCCTCCTACGAGGTTCTTGTTCTGCCTTCGGGGGAGGCTCAGAAAACTAGGCTCGCCCCTTCTCACTTCCCTGCCTCGCTCGCCGCCGATCCACTGACGCGAGGGTGGGGCGGGTGTGCCCTGTCCGGCTCCCCGCGAGCTGGCACCTGGACGGGAACGGCGGCTATCGCGCTGGCGCGGCTGAGTGCCTGAACGCGGACAGCTTGGGATGCAACTCCGGGGAGGTTCAAGTTCAGGATCTGCGCGCAGGGGTATCCTCTGGTCGACAACTGGCCCACTCTGGCCCCATCCCGCTTAAGTACCGTTTGATCCGGCGCAGTCCCGCTCAATCCCGCTTAGAAGCCGGCCCAATGGTCCCGTAATCGGGCTTCTTAGCCCATCCGACACGTACCACTTCCGCCAACGCGTGGGCCAAGGTGTCCAGAGGCGGGTGGCGCCTCCGACAGTGCCTGAACGAATGGTGCCTGCCTGAACCGATGATGCCTGAAAGTGGCATGGCCGAGAAAATGTAGTCGAAACCGATGAAGGAATGAGTAGCCTTCCCAAGGGTACCCATGCGTCTTTGCCTCTTCGGTCCATCCTTAACTACTTTCGATGCCCAGCCCCTCTCGAAAATCTTGGACATGCGCGTCCACGGGGCTTGCATCTTTATCGCGCATCCGTACGATCAGTTCTGGCGTCATGATTGTTTCATGACGTCGACCCCCACAGGTCTGGACCCCTTCCCCAGGACCGGTTTTTCATTTTGAGCCGTTTTTTTACCAGTCCCGAGGCCCAGTAGGGGCCCTAGGTGGCCGAACATAGCGACACAAATCCCGCCGTGTTCTTGTTCATGATCAGAGGGGGTCTCCTCCCCATCCCCTATCCCCATTTCTATCCCGTCCCCATCCCATCCAGACCCCCACCGTCTCAGCATCCCAGTGGGAGAGAACACCCCTCGAACTCCGAAGGAAACAGCCCATATCCTCATCTAGGGGGGTAAATCGGCCCGTGGGGTCCAGGCTACGCCCATGGGCCCACGGGAATAGGGGCCAGTTAATCACTGCTCATCCAATGGAAACCTATACCAAGAAACACCCTGCTTGCCTCCAGGGTGCCCTGAGTTTCTTGGGCTTCGATGATTTTGCCATGGAAAGCATGACGCTCCCACACCAAAAATCCATGGACGTCCTGGGGAGTCTCAGGCCTGGACGTCGTGGCGAGTCTCACGTCAGCGCGGAGAAGAGGCAAGATGGCGAGGGTGAGCAGGAATAGGTGGGCTGGGGATGAGGAGGAAGCGCAGGAGGAGGAGGACGAGGAGGAGGAGGAAGAAGAAGAGGAGAGGACGAGGAGGAGGACGAGGAGGAGGAGGAGGAGGAGGAGGACGAGGGCCTCCCCAGGGACTTGCCTCCCAAGACAGCTGCTGGCGGAAGCTGGTGCTCTGCCGCTGCCCGCCGGGCCCCCTGGCCGCGGCGCTGGCCGAGCTCCTGCCGGGCGGGGCGGCCGCAGGCGCCCCCGGCCCGCGCGTGGAGGTGGCCGCGGACGGCGACGGCGGCGACGACGGCCGACGACGACGGCGGCGGCGGCGACCGGCGGCGGCGACCGACGACGACGACCGACGACGACGACGGCGGCGGCGGCAACGACGACGACGACCGACGACGACGACCGACGACGACGGCGGCGGCGGCGGCGACGACGACGACGACGACGACGACGACGACGACGGCGACTGAGGCGTCGACGGCGACGGCGACTGCGAAGGCGACGGCGACGGCGACGGCGACGGCGACGGCGACGGCGACGAAGAGCTTGAGAGATCCACCCCACAAGACGCCCCGGGCCCGCGTCTGGAGGTGGCCGCGGACGATGGCTACGTCTCGCTGCACGAGAGCCTGCTGAGCTCGAGGGAAGAAACACGCACACCATGACCCGGGTGTCGCGGGGATCCTCTCGATTCCGTTCTTGGTCATGGTCCATGCTGGCCGTCTCCGAGCCGCTAAGCAATGATCCACGGGTTGACGCTGGATGGACGATGACCAAAGTCGGCACGACATTTCTGCGTCCAGTCTTGCTCATGGTCCCCGTGTTCTTTCCCTCGACGAGCTGCCGCGCCCCGGAGCTCCTCGAGCGCACCTCGGCGGACGGCGGCGTGCGCCGCGTACGCCTGCGCGGCGTGTCGGCGCACGCGTGCTCCGACCTGGCCAGGCTCTCCGCAGGCGGCGTCTACACACCACTGCCGTGCCTGGCCAGGGCCGTCCTGGGCCCCACGCTGGGGTCACAGACCCTCCTGGCCTCGGCAGGGAGGCGTACGCACCATCCATGCCAGGGCCCAGGATGGCCCTGGCCAGGCACGGAGGTAGTGTTCTAGACCTCCTAGGTGGGGTCGGAGTAGATGGGGTCGGAGGATCGCGACGCATCGCCGATACATCGGCGATGCATCGGTGATGTAGCTCGATGCGGGGCCCAATGTTCTCCACGCCGACGTCGCGGATGTATTGCAGACGTCGCCAGTGCATGGCCGATGCATCGCAAATGCATCGGCGATGCATCACCGATGTATCGCCGATGCGGCGCGGCCTTCCGACCCCACCTACTCCGACCCCATCTAGGAGGCCTCTAAGTGTCCAGATGCCTTCTGCGCAAGGTTCGTCTACTCCGAGCAGCTGCCCTGGGACGCGGCGGGCCTGCCGGCAGAGCGCGCGTGCCCGGCGCCCGAACTGTGCGCGCGCGTGCTGCGCCTCGCCCGCGCCGCCGAGGCGGCGGGGGCCGGCGTGCTGCTGCGGCTGTGCGCCGCGTGGCTCGGCGTGCACCGCGCGCAGGACTGCGTCGGCGAGTGGCGGCTCCCTGCGATGCCGTCCCGTCCAGCGGACGTCCGAGGACGAAAAGGTGCCTGCCCATACCGCGATTCGGCTATAGTCCTCATTATTACTCGGAAGAGGGCGAGTTGGTGTCACGGTAGCTGGCCTGCGAGGGGCCCCCTCGCCCCTCGCCGCCACGGCTGGACGCAGCTCGGAACATTGGTGCGTTCGAGCCGTTGTCTGCATGCAGCTCGCCCTGCTCCGAGCTACACTTCTCTCGTTTTCGCCCTCGTGGGCCTGCTGGCAAGCTCTCGTCGCCACGGCAGGATTCACCTCGAAATTTTGGTCGGGGCGCACCCTGGGGAGAGGTCCGTGGAGAGTAGCGGTATCGACTCCCCTCACTTTCCCCAGGACCTGTGCGCGCCCGCGGGCCACGTGCTCGGCTGCGGCGAGCCGGGCGCCTCGCTCGCCGACGACCTGCTGCGGCTGCTGGTGGGCTCCCCCGCCGGGCCGCCCGCAGGGCTACACGACTGCGCCGTCGTGCTGGGGAGGCCGCGGAAGGCCGCGGGGCACGGTTGCGGCGCCGAGGCGCTGCTCGGGGCCGGCGGGGCCGAGCAGAGCCTCGAGGTGGTGCCGGCGCACGCCGTGGTCCTCGCCGCGCGGAGCGGCTTCTTTCGAGCCGCCCTCGCACACGACATGCAGGAGGGGCGCAGGGGCGTGGTCCACCTGGGGCTGGTCGAGGACCTCGAGCTGTGGAGGCCGGGCGAGTGCCCCCGCGCTGCCCGCGCGGCCGTGGAGGCGCTGCTGCGGTTCATCTACACGTCGCGGAGCGGCCACGTCCAGGCCGCCGTTGCCGTGGACCTCCTGGCGCTCGTGAGCACCGACTTCTTCCAGCTGCGGGACAATGACGAGCTGTGCGAGGCGTGCGAGGCCGCCCTCGGTGGCCGCCCCCTATCCCGCCTCCCGCTGCTGCAATCCCCCGCGTGCCCTCCTCCCCCTCCTCCTCCTCCTCCTCCTCCTCCTCCTCCTCCTCCTCCTCCTCCTCCTCCTCCTCCTCCTCCCCCTCCTGGGCTTGGAGTTTCGAGGGCGAATCCCCGCTGCGGCGAAGTGTGACTGGCTCTGTGGCGGCCCTGCGTAAAAGTTGTGAGCATATCTCGTGGAGCATGCCCTTGCTTGCGGAGCTTCTCACCGATCAAGGCCAGGTTGTGAGGATTTCTGAGTTTTCGCCTTACTCGTTTTCGCCTCGCCTCCTCCTCCTCCGCCTCCTCCTCCTCCTCCTCCGCGCGCTCGGTGGTGACCTCTCCGCGGCGGCGGCGGCGCACGTGGCCTCGCGCGCGCACGCGCTCGGGCAGCCCAGCCTGCGCTCCGCGGCGCTGCGCCGCCTGGCCGGCGCGCTCGCGGGCGAGCGCCGCCCGGGCGCGGCGCGCGCAGCGGCGGCGGGGCTGCCGCGGGAGCTGCTGCTCGACCTGGTGGAGCTGCTGGCGGGGGCCGCCGCCCCCGAGGCCGCCGCGCGCCGCGCCGTCTGAGGCGCGCCGCGGTGGTGCGGCGGAGGCCGCCGCGGCGCGCAGCATGGCCGCGCCGCCGACGCGCGCCGCCCGAGGTGGCCGCGGGGCGGCCGCGGCACGCCGCGCCGCGCCGCGCCGCGCGGCTGCCAGCTTGGAACACATCGCTATCCCCAATGATCGTTTCCTTCTTCGTAGTTTTGCCGATCGGCGCGGGCCCCCCCGCCTCCCCCCCATGGAGTAGATCTTGGTTGTTTTTGCCGCCTGTTTCGAGCAGGTGGACCCTCCCCCATAGGACGCACTGCTGAAAACAGTCGCACTAGGCAAAAGGTCCGGAGCCGGACCCCCTCCCCTCCCTTCCGCCCAATGTCGAAACGCCGAATGAGAAAACGTTCATCTGTGTTTCGTCTCACCTTGCCTCGGTGCCGATCTCAGGGATGCCCTTTGTTTCTGAGGGCGCATCCCCAATATCGTCATCGCCTCGGGGCTTGCCGATCTCAGAGATATGGATAAAGTTCGAGGCTGGTTAGGAGGGGGTGGCGGTGGTCTCGACGGTCGGGGTTGGCGGGGGTCCGTGCTCGAGGATCGAAGTCTTTCTGGCTCCCGTCGCCCTCTTGGGGAGCCCTGGGGGGCCCTTTGCCCCACCAGAGGAGATCCTGGGCATAACCTCCAGAGAGGCCCACGAGCGGGTTCTTGTTGAGAAGGGAGGGCGACGACGACGAGGAGGCTGCAGCTGGCCCCCTGTTGCCGCCGAGCGTCTCGGCTTCTTCTGAAACGGATGCAGGCAAAGTGCGCTCCTGGGCCTCGGAGAAGAGTGGACGACGAGAGAGGAGCGTGAGGTGGAAGACGGGGGCGCGGACGAGGACGAGGACGAGGATGAGGGGGGACGACGAGGAGGAGCG